TCCCAGCTAACGCCTAAACTTCCCAGCTAACACCCAAGCTTCCCAGCCAAAGATCCATTGTCAACAAAAATGATTTGAGCATGTTTTGTCGAGCTGCGTATGGGAGTAGAGGCTTTGTCAAGCCATCCTCAAAATGGTCTTCCCAGACTTACGGCTGAAAAATCCCTGCCCGGAATGCCGGAATGCCCTCTGTGTGGATGGCAGCATTTTTGAGTCAGAAGGAGAAACTACATTGCCAATTGATTGAAGCCAACCCACAAAAGATACATGCACACACACTGAACTTTACCTTCTCAATTCTTCGATTCCTCCTTCTGACTCTCGCCAACAGCATAGCTGTCGATGGTGACAGTCACCCGGCGCTCTTCGAAGACTGCACTGTCAGCTTGGTCGTCTCGAGGTCATCTTCTTCGTTGGTCGCTGTTGATCCACTGGCGGGCCATGAAGGTTCACTGCCTCAGACATTGTGTGACAACACCAAATCACCTCAAAAGGAAAACCCAACGCGCAAGTCAAGAAAAACTTAAGGACATGAGTTGCAAAAAGAAGGAACATCGAGTGGAAAACCGTTCTGTGTCCCAGTAACTTGCATCCTGCCCAATGTCAACTGGCGCATTCTCCTCCTGGACGTCCGGCTGATCAAGCTCGGTGTGAACTGGTGCATTCTCCTCCCCCTGAATGTTCCAAGAAGGGGCCACCGGGCGATCAAACTCAGTGTGAACTGGTGCATTCTCCTCCTGAATGTTCCAAGAAGGGGTGACTGAGCGATGAAACTTGTTGCCTGCTGGCTCATCAATGATCACCGCGCCATCGTGCATGTACCAAGTACGTGCTCCTGACAGACAGGGACACAATGTGCATGTTGCAGTCCTGTCTGCAGATGATCATGGTTTCTGTTAATAAGTAACTGAATTGGAAACCTCCTGCAGGACCAGAATTATTGTCTTCAAATGCCACGCTGAATGAAACCCTTGGAAAATACAGGCCTTGCTCGTCATAGAGGCTTGTCCGCCCCAGAGAGTCCGCCATTTCAATCTTGAGCTTGATACTTCAAACGACAGCTGCGGACCGGTCAGTAGTTTGCCCTCTAACTCTACAATCACCTCGCTTGGTCCACTAACTGAGGGCTGGACCTCAAAGAGTCCAAGGCAAAAACAAAGCGGCGGTTGAGCCATGATCGCACAATGGGCCGTTTAGCGCCACAGGCTTCCCAGCCGATGTAGCCTCCCGGCTCCTGAGGCTTCCCAGCCTGTAGTATGTATGAAAATGGTTTCCAACCACCAAGAACTTGGTTTTGAGTATCTGTTTTCCTTGAGCAACTACTACACCAAGCATACAGATTTACAAAGAATTTGTTATAATAATTGGCAAATGTATCTAGGGCAAAGCGCAATGCACTGTTCTTTATGTATATTTCTAAATATTCAAGTTTTCTTTCTGATCC